GATTTCCTTCCCAACATCCACAGGCCATGGGCTTTCCTGGAGCCTCCCAGGTGAGACAGGATCACTCCAGATCAGGATCTGGGGGTGTCCTTTACTCTGTGTCCCTGTGTCCCTCCCAGGAGGCAAAAAAGAAATATTCCTTCCTAAAAAGGCTCTTCTTGGACCAGCTTTTTAAGCTCCTTCTCGAATCCTGCTCAGCAATATATTCCCCTCTCTCTCTCTCTCTCTCTCTCTCTCTGCTCCTACCCTGTGATATAAGGATGTCAAAAACCTCTTTGGGCAAACTACATATCCAGTAGGGGATAATCACATTTAATGCCCAGCTTAACCTTGGACCAGGGCTAAATCCATGTAGCCTTCTCCTTTTTGCCTCACTCTCAGGCACCTGGTCCATTAGTGAATTTTTCAGAGCTATGTAGGTTAAAACAATTCAATGAGGAAAACAGAGGGAAGCAGTCAAAAGAAGAAAAAAACCTAATTTTTCAGCAGACGTGCACGGTAGGTCAAATGGCCTAAGGGAAATATTTAATTTAAGAGTCATACTATTCCTACCAAGTTTCCTAACCAAAAGTATTTTCATCAGGAGCACTACTCTTGATCTGGTTACTGCTAATGATTTTCCCCATGGACCCAGCTCATAAAAACATAAATTGCTTTATGAATCATAGAAATCATAGAAGTTGGAGAAGAAAACGATGGCTTAGGTCATCTTGCCCTTCTCCCTGACAGTGGAGTCTGATTTCTTTTCACAAAAAAAAGCCCCCATTTTGAAAATAAGCATTTATTCAGAAGCAGAGAATAGAAATGCTGAGTTCAAAAGAGATTTTAAAAAAAAATATGTAGTGAAAGCAGTGGAGGAAGAGCCAGATTCTTAAGTATCTTGGGTCTCTTGATGAGCTGTGACAATTTGATGGGAATTATTGTCTGGACAGGCACAGGCAGAAATTCAATCATTCAGGTTGGAAGAGGCTTTCAGGATCATCCTCACCCAGCACCACCAGGATCACCCCTGATCCATGTCCCCAAGGGCCACATCCAGACACTCCCAGACACAGGGACTCCACCACCTCCCTGGCACACTTATTCCAAGGCCTGACCACTCCTGCAGGGAAAAATTGTTCCTCATCTCTGATCTGCCCCTGCCCTGGCCCGTCACCTTCCAGCATTTCCCACAGGAGCACAGACACTCACTGGAACCCTCAGAGAAAGCCAGTAAATAAAACACCTGCTGGAGTTGGTTTTGGACTTCAGCATGACTGTCTCTAGATCTCTGTAAGACACCAGCACCTTATTTTGTTCCCATGACTCCCCCAAATCTCTTGGGAGTCAGGACATCTTAGAAAATACCTCTTGGAATTGCCTTTCTTGGTAATTCCTTCAGCTCCAGTGAGTGACTCCTGGCTCTGTGGAAACCCTTGGTGAGAAGTCAAACCCAAAGACTTTGAAGCCCACTTGAAAATGAATATAATATAATAATAATAATAGTAATATAATATAACAATTTGACAGCCTGAGGGAGCTGGGGTTGCTCAGCCTGGAGAAGAAAAGGCTCTGGTGAGACCTCAGAGCCCCTTCCTGTGCCTGAAGGGGTTATAAAAAGGAGGGAGAGGGATTTTTAAGCAGGCAGAGAGTGACAGGACAAGGGGGAATGTTTTTTAACTAACAGGGGGCAGTGTTAGATTAGAGATTAGGAAGAAATTCTTTGCTCAGAGGGTGGTCAGGCCCTGGCACAAAGGTTCATGGGGCAGCTGATTTCCTGAGGCAAATCCAAGCTGCAGAAATGGGTTGGGTTTGGGGGAAAAGGGCACCCACTGCTCTGAAAGAAGGTCCAGAAGCAGATGCCATGAAAATGCCATTTTTGGAGCTGGAGATGCTACTTCTGTGATTAAACAGAGTTGGGGTCAGGGAATGTCCTCATAGACCCCTTACAGTCAGTACTTTTGGAAAGGCTGGGAGAGCTGGGATTGTTCAGCCTGGAGAGGAGAAGCTTTGGGGTGACCTGATTGTGGCCTTGCAGGGCCTGAAGGAGCTGCAGGAAAGACTTCTGTGATTAAACAGAGTTGGGGTCAGGGAATGTCCTTACAGACCCCTTGCAGTCAGTACTTTTGGAAAGGCTGGGAGAGCTGGGATTGTTCAGCCTGGAGAAGAGAAGCTTTGGGGTGACCTGATTGTGGCCTTGCAGGGCCTGAAGGAGCTGCAGGAAAGATGGAGAGAGACTATTTCCAAGGGCTGGAGGGACAGGACAAGGGGGAATGGCTTCAAAGTGACAGAGGACAGGGTTAGGTGGGATATTGGGAAGGAATTGTTGGCTGTGAGGGTGGGGAGGGGCTGGGATAGAATTCCCAGGGAAGCTGTGGCTGCCCCTGGATCCCTGGAAG